AAAATTCCAAGAAACTAGAAAAAGTCAATGGGTCAGAATTATGCAGAGCTGGGAACGAGAGTCCTCTAAAATAAAAAATAAAAAAAAAAGATAGTTCCTGGCTTTAAGCAACACATTTAAAGTCCTCCGGGACCACGGTGGGATAGATGTGTCCTTCCACAGTCAGATAAATAAATGATCAATGGCTTGCTTGTTGGCTTCAGAGTAAGGCCAAGGAGCTCTGACTTCAGCTCTGTAATTCTTTCCGTCCCCCAGGGAACCAAAGGAAACACCTCCATTTGGTGACTGCTGAGGCTAGGCTTTCAGCTAACCGAGGCTTCCTTCGTTTCAGTCTGGGCTTTCCTTAGGAGCAGTCTTCCAGGTTCCTCATTGCTCAGGAGCACATCCACTACTTTAGCATACACTTTGATGGACTAACACCTAACACCTAACAACTGCATAGCTTTTAAGTCCCTCCTGAACCTCAACAGGCTTTGTGGTCATATCATCTATTTTGCAAACAATGTACCTTGAAACTCTGTTTGGCCTCTCTGATTATCCAAACTGGGGAGACAGGGGAAATTTCATATTCCCTAACCTTAAATACATTATCAGTCAGAGTGGCACTGAAGAGGTGGCTGATGGAACAAAGCACAATGTAGCACACCCTGCCCCTCGGACGCTCGTGGGGGGGGGGACACCCAGAAGCTTCAAAAATCCAGGGGTTTCCACTGCTTGCTTGCGGCTTCATTTGGCGCAGCTATTCCCACCAGCTACACTATCCCCATCACCATCCTAGTAACTGCCTTCTCTCTTAAAGCTCCTCCTCATGTTTAAAGGAGATGGTGACGTTTCATGGCTGAGCATGGTGACTTCTCTGGTGTACGTACTGAGGCTCGTGACTTGGTGCAGAACTTCATAGAACGTGAGAAGCTTGCTGGTCAAATTTTCTCCACACAAGCAAGGCTAGAGGCTTCTGAGTTAGACCCCTATCTAGGCAAAATACTGAAGCCCTGAGCTCCATCCCTCAAACAGTTTCAGTGCCTCTTGGGGAGCGACAATGCAAGTGCCCTCCCCAATTACAGCCTCACAGATACTAGCATTATGTCATGACCCTCTGGTTTACGCCCAGTGTTGCTATGCAGCATTTTAAAAGTGGAGTGATCACATGAATCTGACATGGGACGTATGTTGCTAGGGAGAATTTTTAAATTCCTGAGACCTCAGGACCATCGGACGCATGTCCAATGTTACCATACAGCGTTTCAAAAATCGCAAGATCTCATGACCCTTTGATACTAGGATGCTACGCAGAATTTTAAATGTGGCGAGATCTCATGACCCTCTGACACATCCCCTATGTTGCTATACAACATTTTAAAAGTCACAATTGAGTGACAACAATCCACCATCGGTGATCCATACACAGGTGAGGCTGGAGGCTGGAGGAGCCCTTTCAGACGGAAGCCAGCCTGGTTTACATAATTCCCAGAAAGTTTGGGATGAGCTACAAAGTGAAACTCTGTGTCAAAAAACAAATAGATAAAAAGATTAAACATTTTAAAAGGCAGCCCGGGGTGGTAGTGCATGTGTTTTATTCCAATACCGAGGGGATGGGAGTTGAGGAAGTGAGCAGAGGCAGGTGGATCTCTGAGTATGAGGCCAGCCTGTTTTTCATAGCAAGCTCCAGACAACCTAGGCCTACATAAATAGACCCTATCTCAAAAAACAAACAAACAAACAAACAAAAAAAAAACAACGTGGGGCTCTGTCAGATCAACACTAGCCTGTTCTACAGAGGGAGAGACCCTTTCACAAAACAAACAAAAAAGCTTCAAAGGTTGGCATGGCAGCACATGGTTTTAATTCCAACACTTGTGAGGCAAAGGCAGATCTCTGCGAGTTCAGTGCCAGCCTGGATCTACATAGGGAGTTCCAAGCCAGCCAAGGTGACAAATTGACACCGTCACAAAAAAAAAAAAAAAAAAAAAAAAAAAAAAAAAAAATTAAAAAGCAAAATGAACAAAGGAAAAGTCTCAGGTATAATATCAAGCAATTTCTAGAATCTTTATAAAGATGCATTTTGACAACTTAAAGGTTTTACTTTATATTTTTTGTTGAATTTTTGTGTATTTCACAACCAACATCTTAATCTTCTTTATATCCTTTTCCCTATCTGATCCCATCCCACAACCTGCCCCTGCCACACACATACACACAACACGATTTCATGCATTCTGTCATTTCTCTTAAGTCTTATCTAGTCAGGTTGATCCACTGGGGTCTAGTCAGCTTATCTAGATTCACTACCTTAAGGAAGATCAGCTTTTCCTGACCCAGAAATAATCAGCTGCCCAATCAATAGTTCTTCAACTAAGATTGGGGCCTGCTGCCCATTTACACATCTCTACTTTGGGTTTTGTTTACTTGAGTTGCCATGGGACTTGTACATGCTGACACAATTGCTGTAGGTTCATATGAGCAAGATCCCAGGAGGCTGTAAGACTCTATTTTCATATGGTCGTGCACCTCCTCCTCTGGCTTTTGCAATCTTTCTGTTACCTCTTCTACAATAGTCCCCGAGCCCTGGGTGAATGAAGGTTAATATAGGAGTCCTGTTCAAGGACACACACACACACACACACACACTCTTCAAACTCTTATTCTCTACAAGTTGGTGAGGCCTAATAACAGCAATGACTGGCACAAAAATGACCAGCATAGAAAACTATACTGGTGCAGTAGTGGCACTTGTATCCTAGAGATAATCAACAGCTACCTAACTGGACCTAAAACTCACTCAGTGGGAGGAAACTCATGTGTGGTACTGTAAACATAGCCAAATCAACATGGTTGGACAGGTCAGAGATCTTAGCAAAAACCTCAAGGCTATCACATCTCTAGACAAATGCAATTTCTTACTATGTGCTAAATATGGATCCTTATATTTACAGGAAAGCATACCATTCACCACTCATCACATAAGCTTCATTTGCAGAAGATAGAGAGTATTACAGAATTCCACAATTGGCCACATACAGAGAATAAATGTCCATGAAATGCCCAACTCTAAGTGACATATCTACAATGGAATTTATACACCTAAGGCTCACAGAACACAGAGGAACAAGGGGTGGAGAGAATACTAACGCATCTCTCAGAAGTCATTAATGAAGCTCCCTCATGCAACAGAGGGTAATGAACACAATGATATATTTTAATTTAAAAAATTTTATGACTTATTTGTGTTTTGCCTGTAAGTATATAAGTGCACCTGTACATGCAATACTGGTGGAGGCCAGAAGAATGCATGGATCCCTTAAACCTGGATTTAAGTGCAATTATGAGTCCAATGATATGGGTCCTCATCAAGAACAAGCCACTTAATCATTGAGTCATCTCTCTGTCTCTGAATGCCATGACTTCTACGGTTTTATTTTTTAAAAAAAAACAAAACTGTTTTTTTAACATATCTCACATACTATTGTTCAGGCTAACTTGGAATTTAAAGCAAGCGCTCCGCCTCAGTCTCCCACTGCTGAGATTACAGGCATGTGCCTCCACAGCCAGTTTAGATTCGATTCTTCACTTTTTAAACAAGGTCTTCAGTGAAATTTTTGTGACTGTAAGTGTTCAGCAATGTGGTAGAGCAGTACAGGTTATATTGAGGTGAGGATGCACTGTGGTTTCTATTCTCAGAGAAGACAAATCTCTGTTGGGCATGATGGCTCAGCACTGCAGAGTTTGGGACTGGAGGCTAGACTGGTCTAAAAAGTGGGAACTTGTGTAAACAAACAACAAACAAACAAATAAATAAATAAATAAATAGCTGAAATCAAACAAACAAAAAAATCCCATATCCTTCATAGAAATCAACAGAACTTAAAAACATACCATTTTAGAAATGATAAGAAAGCCACCACTGAAAGGAGTATCAGAATCCAAAGTAAAGCACATATAAACACTGTATTTAAATTGTTGTGAAACTATAGTTTTCAAATTATTTTGCCAAGTATGTTATAAATGTAAGTAGACAACTGAATTTTGCACCTAAATCTCAGTTGATTGACTAAGATGTAAATTATTTTCAGTGCTGCATGAATGAGGCTTGGGGCATATATACCATATATAATAAAATTGCATAAAGGTTTGTATGCTCTCATCTGGTAAATTCTGAACTCAAGACTCTAACCATTTTGTAAGTAGATCCCAGAATTGATCAATAGGGGAATAATAGTTATTTAAGTCCATTTCAATGAAGCAAATGTTCCCTTAACAAAGAATGGTGTGTGGTTGAATAAATATATAAATTATTAAGCATATTATTCATATTCTCTACTTCGGAGCTAGAGGGATGGCTAAGCAGTGGTTTTGCACTTGCTGCTTTAGCAGAGGACCTGAATTTGATTTGCAGCACCCATATGGCAGCTAACAACACTAACAACTACCCTCCAGTTCCAGGGGACCTGACACCTTCTTCTGAGCTCTGTGGATATTACATACCACAGGTGCACTTACATACACACATGCAACAAACTCATACACATAAAATAAAAATAATAAAATATTTTTTAAAAAATATTTGTCATGTCTTTATTAGTAAAAAAAATTTAGGCCATCTCAAAATTAGAAATATGTGTGAGTGTTATATCTAAAACTTAGAGGAAATATGAAATAACATAAATATATAGCACAAGTGTAGGAGGATTAAAATTACAAGCTAATATTAATGTGTTTTAGTAAATAAATAGCCATTATCTGGAAACACAGTTCAACTTACAAATATAGATATTGTACTTCTGGATCTGTTTTATATAATGAAAGTGGAGTTATGAATATTCAAGTAATATTTTTAAAACCTCACATTATTAAGGATCATTAACTAAATATATCATATATATTTAAATGTTTATTCTTTACAATGAGATACTGGTGAGTTTGAAATAAAAATGTATTATACCCACAAATACCTGTACAATACAAAATGTGTGAATTCCAACAAAATGCTAAGAACCGCCTACCTGACAGGATTGCTGGTTAAGGAAACCCTCAGGGATTCTAGGCAGTTAAGAAGTTTCTCATCTGAAATACCAGATCGCAATTCATGAACATATTCTTGCGATGACAGGGTGCATTCATGCTTGCTGTTTTTCAGGCCACCCTATAAAATGAAAAGAAGATCCCACATTAGGCAACCAATATTTTATTTAACTTGAAAACAGAATAATACACAGACTACATAACATGGCATTTTCAAAGTATTTTAGTTGAGTCTCCTTGCCTAAGCCACAATGATATGTAACACACCTTGCACACTAATTTAAAAAATAAAAATAAATCCTAAACAATAAATAAAAAGAATACAAGATACTTTTACTTTGTGTGTTGTTTGCAGAGTGCTAGGCATTTAAATTTTCTGTGGTTTATTTATTTATTTATTTATTTTTGGAGGGGGTTGTGTGCCAGGGATGGGACTTGGGGACTTTAACACTTTAACATGGTAGGCATTCACTCTGCATCTGAGATATATTCCTAATAGAATTCTTTCCAGAGCTGAATAGCAAACTTGTACTGTGTATATCACAAATTTTCCTCAGATACTTTAAAAGAAAATTATAGCTGGGCGAGGTGTCTCACACCTTTAATCCCAGTACTCAGGCGGCATAGGCAGGCAGATCTCTCTGAGTTCAAGGATACCTGATCTACATAGTGAGTTCTAGAATACCCAGGGCTCCATAGTGAGACCCTGCCCCCTCAAAAGAATTCTAGCTGGTGCTCACAACCCACAACCTGAATAGAATACTGGAATAGAATATTGATGCGATAACATAAAGTATTACTGACAGGTCTGCTTAAACTGCTAATCCAGGAATTATGATTAATATTAACTGGTCCTCTTTAATTCATGGAAAAATACTGTTAAATCATTTTATTAATTTTGCTACTCAACATTATTTGTATTTGAAAGGAGGAACTACAGAAAAGAAAATATAATATAAAGATATATATATATATGTATAGCCTAAATCTATTGAAAGATATCAGAGTATCACCATATTTCAAAAACAAGTGAACAGTTATTACAATATAAAACAATATAGTCTCCAATTAGCATGTTATTTAATTAATGCAAAACATTCAGCAATTTCCAGACATTCACCTGTTACTCCCATGTCAGTCTTTAAAAATGAACTACAGCAAGGTGATGAAGCTAAGAAGCTGTGATGAGATAATGAATTCATTGGACTAACAATGCATACCTTCACTCTATAACTAATCACAAGTTTACATTTTCTACAATATGAAGGGATTCTCTTAATTATAACTATAGCTTTATTCAAATTTTCTAAACTCATCCAAATTATACTGACTTTCTGCTAAGTATCAATGCAAGCCTCTCCCTAGTGTTCAGAAGTGTCCCAGGAGTGGACACACAGTAAATACGATATACTTATGTATATCTGTAGTTCCTCCTTTCTAATATAAATAATGTTGAGTAGCAAAATTAATAAAATGACCTAACAGTATTTTTCCATGAATTAAAGAGGACCAGTTAAATTTCATAAAGGATATGGAATTTAAAAACCATGTTAATAAAGAAAAATGAATTCCTTAGAATTCCATACTATTTAGATCATTATTAGGTATGCCTCCTAAATATAGGCATATAATAATATGCCATTAATTCTTAATTTCTGAATTAAAAAAAATCACATTAGTAAATGTTAAAAGCTAACAATATGTAAGGGAGTTTTATTTACTAACTATATTGCACCACTATCATTAGTATTAATTGTACTTAATATAATATTACAGAAATCATTGTTTAGGTCTCATGTATACATACATACGCACACAAATACACATACACAGAGAAAGAGAGGGAGGTGCACATGCATACGCACATATTCATCGTGCATATGAGTACAATTTCTGAACTGAGTCAGAATAAAAAAAACGAGTGGTATTTTTTAATTTGTACATAATAATTCAAAAGCAAGAAAATGTTTCACAATATAGCTCTCATGGTGATTTTTTTTTTACTTTATTTAAACATAAGAAATGTTCACTAGATAAATTGCCACATGCACTGCATAGTTAAATAAATTCATCATTGTGAAATTCATATGCATCTAATTTATTATCTCCCTATCTCTGATTCCATGGGTAATAACAGCAAGGATTCATGGCATAATACTAAAATTACACTTTCATTTTTGCTCAATAAATTCACTTTCTACAACACTGTGGGGTCCATCAGTAACAATGAACAGATACCCCAATGCCACATACGCCACTCTGAAAACTACTAGTAGAAGAAATTAAAACTGGCAAATCTATGGTCACATACCACTTTCATGTGATTCTTAAATTTATTTTTTAGTTCATAAATAGACCACACTGATCTTTCCTGGAGGCTTTTTATGTACAGTTCTTTTGTATTCCTCAGTTTTCTCTGTCTGGAAGACTCAGCCCAACCCCACACTGCTTGTCCCATCATTTCTTTCAGCATAACAGTATTCTTGCCACCACATTCTAGTTATCTTCCCAACATGGACAATACTAGCTTTACATAAGTATATCATATTTACTGTGTGTCCACTCCTGGGACACAAGCTGTGTCCCAGTAAAGTAAGAAAATCACCTGCCTTGGAGATCACTGCATCTCCAGATCATAAGATCCTGTTTGGCACACATTGAATCAACACTGCATATTTTCTGGAAGGACAAATGAGTGATAGACATGTCTGATTGTGCTAAAGCTTGTAAGGTTAGTTTAGCATTGGGGATGGTAAATCTACACTGTCAGACTGATTAAACTGAGTGACACATAGGAGATTAGCAAAACACACTTCTAGGTGTGTTTGTGAAAGCCTTTTCAATGACCAATTAGATCATGAAGGATAATCTATTTATAGATTCAAATTTTAAATATGTTGTGCTGGAAGGTGAGGCCTAATTTGAGGAAATAGGTCACATGAGGCATGACTTACAAAGGTGTATCTAGGCCCTGGTCTGTCACTCCTCCTTGTTTCCTACCTGTCTATATTCTGACATGTGCTCCTGGACATAATAATGTTACTTTGCCTTGAGCTCAAGCTGACCCTCGGCTGAAACTCTGAAACTTTGAGCCAATGCAGACTTGCATCCTCTACTTGGTTTCTTTTATATATTTATCATAATGCCAAAAAGTCTAATAAAGATTTGCTTCTGAATGTTGCATAGCCTGAGAGGTTTTCAGTCAGAAGATATGCAGAGACATTGAGTTCAATACAGGTAAATTAAGATACAATAGGGCATTCTAAGAAAATTCAAACTTTACCTAGTCTGAATTATGCCCAGATCATTCATCTGCTAACATCCTTTGGACAGGGTGTTTACTAGTCTTTATAAACCACTTTACTCATGCATGATACAGTGGTAATAAACACTTTAAGTTGACAAAATGGATATAAACATTTTCAAAAGACAAATTGCATATGTAACCTCTCATACTCATAGAAAATATTCATTCCATTTCCTAATTGGACCTCTGTAGGATTACTTTAATTAAGGCATATGGTCACAGCTGATGCTGTTTATGGACATTTAGGACAAACTGCCACTTCGGAGCTCACCCTTCACATACATAGTCACCTAAGTTTTAGAAAAGCTTTAAATTTTTTAAAAATATTTTTACTGAGTTTTTGCCTATTTCGTATAAGAGATCTTAATTAAATTTAGACCCTCTTCCCCCATCTGTGCCAGCCCATAGCCCCACACACAACACAACTGGATTTCACACATTCTTGTCAAGCATTTATGCCCAGATGTCCCTCAGTGCAAGTTCATCCACTGTAGTCTAGTCAGTCTATCAAGAATCACTCCCTTAGTAGGACAGGAGCTAAGACTGACCTAACCAGACAGCCTGAGAGTGCCTGACCTGGCCTCCAGTGCTGGTGAGCTTCCTCAAATTGTGCCATACCCAACCCCCTAACTGGGATTAAGTGAAGCCCCTCCCACGGTCCCAGGGGTAGCCCTGTCTTTCCTACAGCAGGGCAGGGGCTGAGACCTTAGCAGATCACCTGAAAGTGCTTGATCTGGCCTCTGCCTGGTATAGGGCCTGAGACCTCAGCAGACCACCTGCGAGTGTATGGATCTGATCTCTGCATGGTGATGAGATTCGCCAAATTGCTCAGTGCCTAACCCCCTAATTGAGATTATGTGTGGGCTCTCCCACTTCACCAGAGGTAGAACTCTCTGCCATACAGTAAGTAGGGACTGATACTTCAGCAGACTGCCTGAAAATGTCAAAATGGGGCCTCCCCTTAGCAAACTTCCCAAATTGTGCTCTGAGTACTGGCTAGTAGGGAGTCCAAATGTTAGAAGGAAGCCTGAGTGTACCTAACTGGAGCCTGACTTGGGCCTCTATCGGAGCTCCAGAGTAGTTGATCTGAAGCCATCAGCTCCCTCCAAAATAAAATCTCAGAGAACCTGAAACCTAAACCAACCAGCTTTCCATACCCAATAAGAAAACAACCAAGGCACACCAATAGTACTAACTGAAGCAAACAACTTCAATTCAAAAAAAAGAAGACTTGATTTTTACACCAGAATCACAAACAACAAAAGAAATACACATGCCAAAATCTCAACACAAAAATAATAGCATGGAAAACCAAAAGAGCATGTTCCCACCAAACTCCATCAGTCCTGTAGAAGAGTACTACATGGATATGCCCCTTAGAGATAACTCAGGACACAGAATTTAAAAGAACAATCATCAACATGATCAACACATTTAATGAATTTAAAGAACACGCAAACAAATCAAAGAACTAAAAGAATATAGGGATAAACTTCTGACTGAAGTCACAAAAGAGATAGAATGAAGAAAACTCAGGCTGAAGTGAAGAAGGAAGTGAAAAACTCAATAAGCCAATTTGAAACAGCAGGAGAAAGCCTCACCGATAGAATGAATTAAATGGAAAACAGAATGTCAACACTGGAGGTAAAGTTGAAGAACTGGACCACTCAAGCAAAGATTATGAAAATTTTGTTAAAACACAGGAATGGAATATGCAGGAAATGTGGGACACCATGGAAAGACCAAATCTATGTATAATAGGCATAGAAGAAGAAGAATCTCCAATTAAGGGTTTTGACCAGATCTTAAACGGG